CATAGGGGTTTCCACCATTAACACAAAATACAGCAATGTTCAGCCTCCTGACTTTAGCACCACTACTCAGGCCCATTGCTTCAGTCTTTTAAAAATCTGAACTTGCAGCAATTGGCTGGGGATTGGGATTTTTCTGTCCCCCAGCTACTCTGGTGCCCTAAGGCAGCTGCCTAAGCAGCCTTATGCTGGGCGCCAGCATACGGCTGCTTAGGCAGCTGCCTTAGGGCACCGGGGTGGAGGGCAGAAATATCACAATCCCCAGACAATTGCTGGGAATTCAGATTTTTTTTAAATAACTGTCCATGGGAAGAAAGGGGGGGGGCATTGCTGGTGGGGGGGAGGGGGCTAGAGGTCACTGCTATGATAGAAAGGGGGCAGAGGACATTCATTGCTGGGGGGGGGGGCAGAGGTCACTGCTATGGGGGAAAGGGGGGGGCAGAGGACAGTACTGTGGGGAGGAGTGATATGAAGGGCGGTAGATGACACTTATATAGGGGTGGCCCTGCCCATAACAGTGTCCTCTGCACATTATTATTATTAATATTATTATACAGGATTTATATAGCGCCAAGTTTGCTCAGTGCTTTGCACATCACCCCTCCCCCCAGACTGGTGGAGTCCAGTTCAGGCTAAGTGGTACCAGTTCAGAAATGCCGCACAACTAAAGAGGAGTTAGGAAGTGTAATAAAGAACTGTTATCCAGAGTGCATAGAGTGTAATGAGGAAATGATAGTTGGAGTGAACAGTGTAAAGAGTACAGAAATTGGCCCATGGATTACAAGGAGTTAATTATACAGTGGAGCATTATTACTTAAAGCATTGTGGCCCTTAGGGGTCGCATGGTTAGGTGAGGAGGCACTTTAGCCACTTTTGGATTACGATATACACGTGTGGCATGCTAACACGCATCATGTTTGGCGTGAAGAATTAAAGCACTGACATCGTGATGTTTGTTTGCACATGAAATGTCAAGCACTTGTTATTGCACTTTATTGTGGATTTTTATCTTTAACCAACATTTATATTCATACGGAGCACCTGTCACTTTCAGTTAAAGTGTGCAATGTCATTGTGTATTACTTTTACTTTGCATATATTGTATTTTGGCACGATCTAGTCAGCAAACGCATGACCTGTCTTACACTCTCAGCACTTGGCATTTATATATTTTTTTGGGGGGAATACTTAGCACTAGTCAATTGTATTTTTCAATACAGCGTGGTCACTTTATATGCATTTTATATTTTTATATCATTGTACTTTATATATTTAGTTCTTTATGTGAAGCGCTTCACCAACATTGGTTTTTCACGTTATACATCCTGTGGTATTGGGAATAGGTGGTAGCAGCTTGCATATATTTGGGGTTTTGTTTGTTCATACCAGTGGAGCGCAGGGGGATTATTTTTATATTTAATGACGCTAAGAACACCATCCCTACAATGAAGCACGGAGGGGGAAACATTATGCTTTGGGGCTTTTTCTCTGCTAAAGGTACAGGCCGATTTTGCCACATTGAAGACCAATGAAAGGGACCACGTAATGTACAGTTGCAAGAAAAAGGTCTGGACTCTGACTGGGCCACTCCAGAAGGTGTATTCTGTGCTGTTGCAGCCATTGTTTTGTTGAATTACTTGTATGCTTTGGGTCATTGTCCTGTTGCATCGCCCATCCTCTGCGGAGCTTCAGTTGGCGGACAGATGGTCGTACGGTTTTCCTGCAAAATGTCTTGATAAACTCTGGAATTCATTTTCCCATCAATGACAACAATCCGTCCAGGCCCTGAGGCAGCAAAGCAGCCCCAAACCATGATGCTCCCTCCGCCATGTTTTACAGTGGGGATGAGGTTTTGATGTTGGTGTGCTGTGCCTTTTTTTCTCCACACATAGCGTTGTGTGTTCTTCCCAAACAACTCCATCTTGGTTTCATCTGTCCACAGTATATTTTGCCAGTAGTGCTGAGGAACATCCAGGTGCTCTTTTGCAAACTTCAAACGTGCTGCAATATTCTTTTTGGACAGCAATAGCTTGCTCCGTGGTGTCCTCCCATGTATTCCATTCTTGTTTAATGTTTTCCTTATTGTAGATGTGTCAACAAAAATGTTAGCATGTGCCAGAGATTTCTGTAGGTCTTTAGCTGACACTCTGGGATTCTTCTTTACCTCATGCAGCATTCTGCGCTGTGCTCTTGCAGTCATTTTTACAGGACGACCACGCCTAGGGAGAGTAGCAACAGTGCTATACTTTCTCCATTTGTAGACAGTCTGTCTTACCGTGGACACATGAACATCAAGGCTTTTGGAGATACTTTTGTAACCCTTTCCAGCTTCATGCAAGTCAACAATTCTTGATCATAGGTCTTCTGAGAGCTCTTTTCTGCGAGGCATGGTTCACATCAGACAGTGCTTCTTGAAACCAGTAAACCCAAAACAGGTGTGTGTTTTTTAAGGGCAGGACAGCTGTCAGCAACACATCCAATATCATCACACTGATTGGAGTCACGGTTGGCTCACTCCTGGCTCCAATTAGCTCTGGGAGAAGTCATTAAGCCAGGGCCTCACATACTTTTTCCTCCCTGCACTGTGAATGTTTACATGTTATGTGCAATTAAACCATGGCAACATCTAATGTTTGTGTAGTATTATGCTCAGCAGACTGTGTTCTTCTATTGTTGTGACTTAGATGACGTTCAGAGCACATTTTATGCCCACTTCATGCAAAACTCCACGTAATCCCAAGGGGTTCACATACTTTTTCTTAAAACTGTAAAATCTTGGATGAGAACCTTCTCCCCTCAGCCAGAACACTGAAGATGGGTCATGGATGGGTCCTACAGCATGACAATGACCCAAAAAATACTGCCAAGTCAACAAAGGAGTGGCTCAAGAAGAAGCACATTAAGGTCCTGGAGTAGCCTAGCCAGTCTGCAGACCTTAATCCTATAGAAAATTTATGGAGGGAGCTAAAACTTTGAGTTGCCAAGTGACAGCCAAGAAACCTTAAGGATTTAGAGAAGATCTGTAAAGAAGAGTGGACTAAAATCCCTCCTGAGATGTGTGCAAACCTGGTAACAACATCTTACCTCTGTGCTTGCCAACAAGGGTTTCTCCATCAAGTACTAAGTCAAGTTTTGCTTGGGGATCAAATACTTATTTTACTCACTGAACTGCAACTCAATTTCTAACATTTGTGTCATGTGTTTTTTCTGGATTTGTGGATGATATTCTGCCTCTATCATTTAAAATACACCGAAGGTAAAAATTAGAGACCCTCCATTTCTTTGTAAGTGGGCAAACTTACAAAATCTGCAGGCGATCAAATAATTATTTCCCCCACTGTATATACTTGAGGAGAAGCATTGCTTCCTAAATGCCAGCCTTATGTCACTCAATGCCACTGCACATCCCAAGAGTCCTCACTCTGATAACAGAATATACACCTCAAGACATTTAACCAAATGCAATCGGCCAAGGTTTGAACTGTCTATGGCTCGCTTAAGGCTTAGTAATTTTGTGCTTTTCTCCACGGTGCACATATATCAGTATTTGTCACATGAAATAACAATAAAGGTTCTCAGTTTTGTAATTTGTTGGTTAGTGCCATCAGCAAAGATAGGAAAGATGTACTGTTGGCTTAGCAAGCACTAATTATTGTCCCTACTGTATGAGCATACTACAAATATGGTGCACAGTTCCCACATTTGGAGACAATGGGAAACTAACTGACAGTTCTAAACCCAAATGATAAGCCTTGTTTCTATGTCTTGCAGAATCTAGCTAATCTAATTGTTCCCTAAACAATATAACAGTACAGAAACTACAACATTGTGATGAGTATAGTGTTAAGTAGACAAAGTTGTAAGGCAATATAAAATGAAGTAAACATCAAAAACCCAATAATGTGCACATCAAGGCCATCCACCATCTCTCAGTACTAAAATCATAAAAGTCAGCCAACAGCCAGCAATACTAATTTATTGCTGGTCTGTGAGATAAGATCATGTGCACACTGAGATGTAACAGCATCAAATTCTTGGGAAGGGGAGCAGAGGAAATGCTCCGCTGCCTGGACTGTGTGTTCAACGAGATGCAGGAAAAATTTAAATATTAGACTGTAGTTCAGTTACACTAAAAGTTTAGAATGAAAATGGTTTGCATGACAGAATCTTTATCTAGATTGTAAACTCGAAAGAGCAGGGCCCTCAATCCCCTCATGTTTTGCATTGTATTGGTATTGTTCTGTCCCCCTTTGTAATGTACAGTGCTGAGCGAACTATTGGCGCTTTATAAATACTGTTAATAATAATAATAATAATAATCTTAAAATTAACAAAAACATTTCAAAGGTGCCTTGGTTAAAGTATAGGTAATCCCTAGATTGTAAGCTCCAAGGAGCAGGGCCCTCCTAACCCTCTTGTATTGAACTGTATTGTTGCTGTATTGTCTCCCTTTATATTGTAAAGCGCTAAGCAAACTATTGGCGCTATATAAATCCTGTATAATAATAATAATCCTAATCACTATAATCTAGTTTGAGCTTTAATGTGGTAATGTCATTTTAATAGGCATTTAATTTTTTTCAAACATGTTGCTTACATTAAAAACATACTTGGTGATCCTGTCATGAAGGTCCCTGTCTCCTAACTGTGCTCCTGTGTTCTCAATATAGTGCCTACACCCCCAGCAGCCATTTGGTATGATGGGTTCTCTGTTCTTTGCCACAACTCTGAGAACAGCTTTGTCCCACCTGGTTAGGTAAGGAGATGCTGCAATCACCTATAAGTTCAAGCATTTGTATGCTACCCACAACTATATTAGTGTATAGGAAATAGGCACCATACTATTTGCGAATGAAGTAAGTATTGTATTTTTCGCTCTATAAGACGCACCTGATCATAAGACACACCTAGGTTTTAGAGGAGGAAACCAATAAAAAAATATATTCTGAACCAATGGACTGCAGACATAGAACATGAAATGACCAGAGACTGCAGACATAGTACAGGAGATGACCAGATACTGTAGACATAGTGCAGGAGATGACCAGAGATTGCAGACATAGTACAGGAGATGACCAGAGACTGCGGACATAGTACAGGAGATGACCAGAGACTGCAGACATAGTAGAGGAGATGACCAGAGACTGCGGACATAGTACAGGAGTACAGAGATGATGATCAGAGACTGCGGACATAGTACAGGAGATGAAACTGCGGACATAGTACAGGAGATGACCAGAGACTGCGGACATAGTACAGGAGATGACCAGAGACTGCGGACACAGTACAGGAGATGACCAGAGACTGCAGACACAGTACAGGAGATGACCAGAGACTGCGGACATAGTACAGGAGATGACCAGAGACTGCGGACATAGTACAGGAGATGACCAGAGACTGCGGACATAGTACAGATGATGATCAGAGACTGCGGACATAGTACAGGAGATGACCAGAGACTGCGGACATAGTACAGGAGATGACCAGAGACTGCAGACACAGTACAGGGGATGACCAGAGACTGCGGACGCAGTACAGGAGATGACCAGAGACTGCGGATGTCCTCTTAGTACAGAGAAGTACCAGTACTTCTCTGTACTAAGATGACAACATTCAACCTAAAGTTGAACACTAGTGGGGTACACGATGAGAAAATTGGATGAACGATGATCTGATTTTCCATGAAGATGCGGATCATGATGTAACCGAAAATGGTATTAACTTGTATGAAAATTCTCAAACAACAAAGGCAAGTGTTCTTTCTTGCGTTTGATTTCTACGTTCCTTGACACCTTCTTCCTGATCATTCTTTGATTCTTATCATGTGTTTTTTTTCTATTTGATTACAAATTGAGAGAAAAACAGACGTTGTGTTTACATACGATAAAAATTTCTAGTTTGCGCCTTCTCTTTTTTCCCCTGTCCAAACAGTCAGAATCAACTGTCAAAAGCATTATACTAATTATCAGATAATCGGCCAATTGTTCCTCGTATAGAATTTTTCTTCTGATTTTCTTATAGTGTGTTCCCAGCGTAGAAGGAAGAGCAATCCCAGACATAGCACCCAGAACCAGTAGAGGTCACTGTCACTCAGACCAATGCAAGGCTTTGAGATGGCTGTCAACAGTTTCAACCTAAAATACATAAATCCAGAATTTAAATATGAATTGAAGAAAAGGTCTTGGCTTTCTAAATGACGTAAATACACCGGAGTGTTTACTTTAAGCGAGTTAATGTTTTTCATTCTATGCAAAAAATAGCATCCTTCCCACAAAAGATGTGTTTTTGAGCAAAGACAACTTAGAACCTGACATTCCAGTTCTAGTCGTTCTTTTATGTTGCATTTAAATGTTTGTGCAAAAGAAGGGAATAGAGTTTATGTGCCCAGAATGCTTCTCTGAGTTTATGTACCCAGAATGCTTCTCTGATTACTCCAGTTTCTCCAAAAATAAACATACAAGAAAACCAAAGAATGTAGCTGAGGCCACCCTCACGCCAACTTCGCTCAGAAACCCCAGCCTAAGCAAGAAGTGCTATTACTCACAAAGTCCATTTAATCTTGGTGGTCCTCTTTTTAATTAAAACAAATGAAGCCTGCTGACTTGCTCCAAATAAATATTTGAAGGAAAAGATTCATGGGCATATGTAATGTAATTTAAAATAAGACAAGCCAGGAAAATGTTACAGCGGATAAAAAAAAAACTATAATAATATTAAGGGAAAAAAATCACATTAACAACATACAGCCAGTGAATCAAAGAAATGTGGGCTTTTATTTGATCCTCATACAAATCTGAAAATAGATTTAAACTTCTCTTTGAAGAGGCTGAATGTGTTCTGTAATGAAAACAGGCAGCGTTTAACTATGAAAGGAAATAAATGTGTTAGTGTTGGATTTTAACAGTAAGCTTTTGTTTTCATTCAGAATTTATTACATTTTTGTATATGCACCTTTTCTAGATTTCAGTTGTATTGCATCACAACTTTAACCCCCACTCACACTTGAGTGTTAACATAGATGATTTAGAAGTGGTTTTCACACACCTTGCTGTACAGGAGCAGAATTGCGCATTTTTGGCACCCATAGACTTCTGAATGCAAGTGCTGGGAAACGTATTTTTCATGAGTTTTCATAAGGCTCGGTTCACACTGCTGCGACCCCTAAGTCATGCAACTTGTTGGTGACTTTTGTGATTTAACATTGCAATCTATGGCACTCAAGATGTATCAAAGTCACAGAAAAGTAGTGCAGGAACCTTTGTTTTTTGCTGCAACTTCAGTCGCATTGATTAACCTCCCTAGCGGTAAGATTATTTCATATTTTTGGTGCTGAAAGCGGTACCATTATTTTGCATGGAAATATGTAGTTTTTTTATTGTAGGCTGTAATTTTTAGGAATAACTCACTGAAATCTGTCTGAACAAGATTCTAAATCACACATTTAATTCAATAATATAATCAAACCAAAAACACTGAAATTTGAAATATAGCGCCAAGTTCGCACATCGCTGAGCAAAGTCGCAAAATAGTTTTCAGTGTCTGATGACGAATTTCTCCACGAATCATTATCACTCAATTCTGCAAGTGGTTCTGATTTACTATCGCTGTTCTCTAGCTGATCTAAACCCGCTTTTGACCTAAAGGGACACTTTTTGGACACCATGGACTTTTCTACGTTTCCAGGCAGAAAGAACAATCAAAATGCAGACGGGGGACAGGACAAAGCACTAGGGACAAAAGGTATGTGAAATGGGTTGAAACAGCAATGTTTTACTATGTAAAATCGTTTTGAAAAAAATGAAATTTTTTTTAAATTTTCAAATTTCCCGCCACAGCCCGTACATCCCGACGTCACAGGGACCGGCACACAGGAGCCGGATGCCGGCATCAGCCGGAGGAGATGGCCGGGGACGCTGCAGGGGACACATCGCGGGAGCCAAGGACAAGGTAAGTGCTGCAGGGACTCCCTATGCAGCGCTGCATGGTAAGCCCGAGTGTAGCTCGGGGTTACCGCTTTTGGTATAGACATTTTACCCCGAGCTACACTCGGGAATACCGTTAGGGAGGTTAAGATGCACCCATTAAAATGAATGTGTTTTAATGTTTGACTCTGCATCTCTGAATAAATTGGTCTCTAATATAAAATCTTCCATCTGTATACTTGATACTATTCCCACCCATTTATTTAATTCCTGTTTTAGTTCTCTATGCCCTATTCTCAATATCATAAGCGACTCCCTTAGCACTGGTTCTGTACCAACAATCCTTAAAACTGCAGCTATCACCCCTGCACCAAAAAAAACACAACATAGCTCTGGACAACGTAAACAACTTTCACCCCATATCTGACTTACCCTTCCTTGCCAAGATCCTTGAGCAGCTTGTGATATCTCAGTTACATAACCACTTGGGTTTAAATTACCTATTTGAACCCTTTCAATGTGGTTTTCGGCAACTGCACAGCACAGAAACTGCCTTGGTCAAAGTCACTAACGACCTTCTGTTAGCTTCTAATTCTGGCTCACTAGCTATTCTTATTCTGCTGGATCTTACTTCTGCCTTTGTTACTGTAGACCAGTGTTTATCAACCTTTTTTCAGTCAAGGCACCCTTTAAAATTATGGACAGTCCCGAGACACCCTTTAAAATTATGGACAGTCTTGAGGTACCCCATTCTAAAATGGGGTGCCCCAAGTCTGTCCATTTTAAAAGGCACCCCATTCTAACATGTAAAAAAAAACTATTCTAATAGTTTTATGACGCAGCAACATCCACACATGTATGACACCCCATTAGATGAGATTTATTCTTCCAAAGCAAATATACTTTTGCACACTGGTACTGAATATTTCTATCAATGTTCCAATGTTTCTCTTCTCCCTCAGTTTTTCTTCATCACTGAACTAATGTGACCCCAGTACTGATGGAGAGGGGCAGGGGAGGGTCAAACTAGGATGCTGTACAGGCAGCGGACATCCTCCTTATCAGCTGATGATGTCATTGGTTGTCAGGATGCTGGCGGCTAGAAGGTCGTAATGGAGCACAATGAAAACTGATGGCTTTGTGTAACTAAAAGGCAGGCTTGTTCCACCCGCTGGCTTGTATACAAGTTTTGGGCAATTTTTAGACATTTTGCCAAGGCACCCCTGCAGAAACCTCAAGGCACCCTGGTTAAAACAGGCTGCTGTAGACCACAATCTTTTACTCTCTGGCCTTGAAACCATATTTAGAGTCTCAGAATTAGCTCTGAAATGGATTAAGTCATATCGTACTGATCACTGTCACTTTGTTTCTCTTGGTGGATTTCAGTCTGAAGTCGGGCCAGCCAAGTACAGTGTTTCTCACGACTCAATCTTGGGCCCCTTACTTTTTAGCATTCATATGTTTTCACTTGGCCAACTGCTTAGATCACATGGGCCCAATTATCACTTCTATGCTGACGACATTCAAATATACATCCACACTAAACCAGATTCTACTTTGGCTGCTTCTCTCCTATCTAACTGTATTTGTGGATGGCCCAAAATTTTCTTCAGTTAAACTGTGAAAAAGACCGAAGTCATGCATATTTCTACCCCCCCCCCCAATCCTGGATACCTTGCAATGGCTACCCATCAGGTTTCACATTGACTTTAAGATCCTCTTGATCACCTATAAGGCTCTTCATGGCTTGGCACCCCATTTTCTGTATCCACTTACCCCCCCCTCGTAACCTCCACTCCTCAAATTCTGGTCTTCTGGGGGTCCTCCCTACTCACCTACACTCGATGGGAAACAGAGCCTTCTCCTACTATGCTCCAAAACTATGGAATTCACTTCCAAGGAACATCAGAGAGTCATCTTCTCTAAACTCATTTTAATCAAATCTAAAACCTTTTTTCCTTAGACTAGCTTTCACTTAATGATCCCTTTTTCCATTGTTTTATCCTGTGTATTTCTTGTGCTTTCTTTGTAAAACCCTTTTTAGAAGCTCCTTTGTAAGGTGCTATATAAAATAAAGTTTATTATTATTATTATTTTGTTTTGTCATACAACGTTTTGGCTCCATGCACACTAGTGTTTTTTTAAGCTCCTAGAAGCTGGTAATAACTTTTTTTTTTTCTGCTACTTTAGGCTATTAGCATTTTTCTGAGCTTTAGCTTCTAGGAGCAAGAAAAAAATTGTTTTTGTAGAGTCTTTGGAGCATTTTTCCAGCACAAAAAAACCCGCTAAATGCTCCTAAAAGCTCCTAAAACGCTACAAACAGTTTTTTTTCTAGCTTTTTCCTTTTTTTCTACATGTACTGTAAAAATGCTAATAAAACGCTAAACCTCCTAAACCCTACTAAAAACACTATTACCAGAATTTTTTATCTAGTGTTTTTACCAGTGTTTTTGAGCTTAACCCAGCCCAAAAAAAAAACACTAGTGTGCATGGAGCCTTTATGTCACAAGTCTCATGATAAGTCGCAGTATGAACTGGGGCTTAAAGGTCTAAGGGACCAAAAATATGCAATTCTGCTCATGTGCTTTTGCAAGCTTAAATCAACAGGTGATAAGCGACACAATGCTAAAGTGTGACTGGTCCCATTAAGAATAGTGTCATTCGTACGGGATGTCCATAGCTGGACTTCCACATCCACTACTAATGACAAATTGCTCCTAGGGCTACACACCAAGGTGACTGTCCATTCTG